ATTTGCCTTGCCTCTGACAACCCATGCTACACCACTGACTGTGCTACCTATATAAGTGCGCTTGTTACCCTAGGGGAAATCTCCCACTAAATCTGCTAGAGCCCCACAGAATGGTGTGCCTATGTGGCTCCCAAAAATAGGACTTTCTGCGCCCAACACATTGGAGGTATGGGGGATTTACTTGCTGTCTAAAAAAAATTGTGTTTAACCCCCTTGTGGGCACTGATCAGAAAACCACACCAGGTCTCACACCAGAAGGAACATATCATCTTCCCCTCCAGGGACACCTGTCCTGACATTGACCATGAAGGGCATTTTGAGGACAACAGTGCAGAACTCTAATCCTATCCTCCACCAGCTCTTATACATACAGTGCACTGCACTTGCTCCAGCCCATAGGCATGGAGGGGAGCCACTGAACACTTTGTTAGGCCCTGCACATTTGAGGTCCAGGCCCAGTCCCTGGAAGGCTGCATTCCACAGTGTGCACTAAGATAGGGTCCCCACTGCTGAGAAGAGCAGATCAAATGGGAATAAACCTCCCTCACTACCCAGCACCACTCCCTCTCCTGTACTGGCGGTTCCTCCATCTTTATACAGATGTTATTAACATGTAACATTGAGTTAAGGCTCGTTCACACTAGAACATGAGCGGTAAACCCACATTCCATGCCAGTGAGCAAGTTGGCCTCGCTCAGAGCTATGCTTTAGAGACATTTATATTTATTATGCCTGCAGGGTTCTTCTTTAAAGATTCTTTTCTTCAGCTGTATTCTAGGTGCATAGCCAGCTGTTACCTTGAGCGCCTCCTAAGATATAGAAGTGTATTGTCCAGCCAACTGACACGTAATTCCTATCTCTAAGCTGTACTAAAGCTGTGAGTTCTTTCTCACAACGAACGATTCTGTGTTTTCTCTCCTTGTGCACAGTAAGGGGTTAATATATTTTTTACAGTATACACAGATTTCTTTTAACTTTAGCACCAGTTTCCTGCACTGCATTCAAATCATACTGTGCTTGGGAACTGCAGCTGGTGTTAGTGCAAAGTTAATGACACCCCAAACACAGGTCGCAAACGCAGTGCATTTGCCAGCACTGGTTCACATGGTACAAAAGTACCATGCAATCCGGTTGCAGTGCTTTTCCAAAAGCCAAAAGTAGCGCATGCACTACTTTTGGTGTAGTGCAGTGCGATTTGAGCCCATTCACATCGCATTGCACTGAAATGCATGTGAATTGCACAGAGAAAAACAGCATGTTCCTGTGCAAATCACATGCAGTTCCTAGTGTGAATGGGCCATTAGGCTTCAACATTATTTGTGCACTCACTGGGAATGTATTTGTTATGATGGCAGGCTTAGACAGGAGTTGTATCATTATATTATTATATTAGGTATTAGTATTATTATAATGTTTGTCTAGTGAGACAGCTTCTCTTGTTTTGCATTCCAGAAAGTGTCTATAAGAAAGACATTACAAAAGTCAAAGGTGTCAAAAAGTTTCCTCTTTTCATGTATATTTTCTATCTAGCAATTTAAAATAATGGATAGACACTGTGTTAAAACCAATTATTTCAATCACATAAGGGACATAGATAATTGATCTCTCTTGGATAATTAGCCTGTTCAAGAATTGCCTTCTTATTTGCAGATATAGCTAAAAATAATGCTAACATATAAAATACCCTTAATCAAGTCTGGAATTTCAGCGTTGGCAGCCAGTGACTTGAAATATCCATCTCTGCATATATATATAAAAAAGAAGCCATAACATATTGGGAATGAAGTCAAAGAGAGAATCAGAAGCTAGAATTTTTAAAAATGTAATTGCAACAATGAAAATGATTTGCTAATATATTGTTTTACTAATACCTGCCTTCTGATATGTTAAAATTACAAGACACATTTGAAAATGGTTAGTAATGCTGACATGCTATATTTTCTCAAGTGCCATAGAATTCTAAAATATATATTTATGCACTACCCTTGTTATTTTCTAAACCTAATTCATTATAAGAAAAGGTATTTTTTAACAATTTTCTAATTATTTTTACAATACCAATAAAGTAAAATATTCACAAGATGAAGCTGCATTCCTCAGCTCCAGCTCACAGACCTTCACTCTTCCTAGGTCAATTCCTCCCACATACAGTTCAGCAAAGTTCTTCAAAGAAACTACTTCAAATTTATTTTTCAAGCACAGACACTCCATTCAGGAGTTCTCCCCTATTGGGTTTAAACATAGTGGAGGCCAAATGCGGTAAAGACAGAATCCTGGGTGAAGTGTCCATTCTTGTGCTCAACAATTAAGTTAATTTTAACCTTTAAAAATTTTACACAGCTCTAGAACTTTGCTGAACAGTAAAATATTTCTATGCAATCTGCTTTTTGAGAAGAGCATTGTCTTAAAAAGCAGTATTAAACCCAAAGGCAAACCTTTATTATATTGCAGCTTGCCAATTCTTAGATGTGATGGCTGTATTAGTTACCTATTTTAGGCTTTCTTTCTTCTATTTTTGTCTGGTTATCCAGCCAGTAAGTCTGTTGCTTTCAGCAGAAAAGCTCGTACAGTTACAGGGTTGACACAAGCCCCTTAAAACTGCCAGGGGTGCTTAACTGATTTTTAAAGTATTAGCTGGAGTTCAACTTCAATTTGTTACTGTATTTAAATCTGCTAGTACCTCTAACACTCCCCTTCTCCTAGACTGACTATGTTGTTGTCCTAATATGCCCCTGTGCTCCTTCATCCAGAGTGGTGTCTGTATTTTTATTATTATTATACAGGATTTATATAGCACCAACAGTTTGCTCAGCGCTTTACAATATAAAGGGAGACAATACAGCAATGATACAGTTCAATGCAAGAGGGATAGGAGGGCCCTGCTCCTTGGAGCTTACAGTCTAAGAGGGAGGGGCTGGTGGTACAAAAGGTAATAACTGTGGGGGATGAACTGATAGATAGGAGGAATAGAAGCTTCTGTTATTAACTGAAGGCAGGTAGGCCTCCCTAAAGAGATAGGTTTTCAGAGATCGCCTAAAAGTGGGCAGAGTAGGCGATAGTCTGATAGATTGTGGTATAGAGTTCCAGAGGATGGGGAAGGCTCTGGAGAAGTCCTGGAGATGAGAATGGGAGGAGGAGACAAGGGAGCTAGAAAGCAGGTGTTAATGGGTGGAGCAGAGAGGACGGTTTGCGTGATATTTGGAGACAAGATTGGTGATGTAATTTGGGGCAGAGTTATAAATGGCTTTATATGTTATTGTTAATGTTTTCAATTGTATTCATTGGGCAATGGAAAGCCAGTGGAGGGATTGCCAGAGAGGGATGGCAGATATGGAATGGTTGGTAAGGTGGATGAGTCTGGCAGCAGCATTCAGGATAGACTTAAGAGGGGATAGCCTGCAATGAGGTAGGCAATGAGGAGGGAGTTACAATAGTCAAGGCGAGAGATAACAAGGGAGTGAATAAGTTGCTTAGTGGTTTCAGAGGTTAAGAAGAGGCGTATGTTGGAGATGTTGCGGAGGTGAAGTCTACACGATTTGGACAGCGATTGGATTTGGGGCTGAAAGGACAGATGGGAGGGACCCCTACAGAAAGAGGAAGTGGAGCGGAGAAGACAGAGTTATAGGCAACACTGAAGGGGCACTGCGATAGGTAGGAGCAGAACTAGGAGAGAGCAGAGTCTCAGAGGCCAAGAGAGCAGAGTTTTTTGAGGAAGAGGGGATGGTCAACAGTATCAAAAGCGACAGAGAGGTCAAGTAGTAATAGTGTGGAGTAGTGGCCATTGGTTTTAGCAGTTAGTAAATCATTAGTGAGTTTTAGTAGGGCAGTTTCAGTGGAGTGTAGTGAGCGAAAGTCAGACTGTAAAGGGTGAAGAAGGTTATTGTCGGCTGGGACACCTTTTGAGTTAAGTGCAATGAGTGCATAATAAATGAAGCTGTATCGAAAAATACTGCACTATGAAGCTGTTGTTGTTTCTTCCGAGTGTCTGGCATAACCTCTTTGGATATGAATAAGGTGATATCTTGGAGAAGTGGATTTCCCTAGTGGTATTTGATCACAGAGCATTGCCTCCTTTACATTGGTCTGTTTGGAGCCGGGTTCTGCAGAATATTACTCCCTGAAGACACATTCATGAGTGGTTCATTACTCTGCTAACCATCTCCCCCAGAGCAATGGTGGTGGATTGTTATACTTTTGTGCACCTTTTTTGGACTTGAATTTACACATCTCATTTTGGACTTCTTTTGGACACTTATATATATTCATTTATTTATTTATTTATTTATTTATTTATATTTTTTTTCCATTTATTTATTTATATTCATGATTCATATTGACAAAATTTGTTTACTTTTATAGGTATAATTGTGATTTATTTACTAACGCAAATTATTTTTTTATTTTTTTGCACACCTTTTTTATTTATGGTGGATTTTGCAGCTGGTATATCAGAAAGTGATCCCTTCCCATAGGCACCATTATATTTACTTACTAAAACAAATAATTATACAGATGATATACATATGTTTTAACTGGCGGTGTTTTATTTCTCTTCGGCCACGTCTGAGATTTACACAGCTCTACCTCACAGTTTGCTTGGACAGATATATTGTAACATGCAGGAAAATCTGTGTGATATAATTAGCATCTCTAAGTGACAAAATTGACTGCTCGCCAATGATTATATTATTGATCATATTGCTTGTAAATACAAGTACTTGCATTAGCTGTCTGATATACAAGGTCCAACCAATAAGGGAATGACCTATTGCTATGAAACTGACATGCTATATCAGGCCTTGAAATTTCCACTCGCCAGCTCGCATTGGCGAGTGTAAATTATGGTGGGGGCGAGTGTGTCCCCAGGGCCGTCTTGCTGAGCAGGCTCAGAACTCAGGGCCGGATCTGTCACTCGCACTGGGAGCCGTCAGACTGCTCAATAGTTGAGCAAAGTGAAAGCAAAGGAAGGAGTGTGTGCTGTGCTCTCTGCCTCCCCCAGAGTGCAGTACCCGGCTCTGTGAGTGAAGGTAACAAACTACTGCAACTTTATATAGGGCTGTGTCCATGTGTGTGTGTGTGTGTGTATGTACATGTATCTGTGTGTGTTTGTGTGTGTCTGTGAATGCATGTACATACAGTATGTATGTGTGTATGTACATGTGTGTATCTGTACATGTGTCTGCATGTATGTACATGTATGTGTGTGTACATGTGTCTGTGTGTGTGTACATGTGTCTGTGCGTGTGTGTATTTGTGTCCATGTACGTACATGTGTCTGTGTGTACATGTTTCTGTGTATGTATGTACATGTGTCTGTGTGTATGTACATGTGTCTGTGTATGTATGTACATGTGTCTGTGTGTATGTACCTATGTCTGTGCGTGTGTTTTTTCTGTGTATGTACATGTGTCTGTGTGTATGTACATGTATGTGTGTCTGTACGTGTGTCTGTATGTGTATACATGTGTCTGTATGTGTGTGTGTGTACATGTGTCTGTGTGTGTGTGTATATGTTTCTGTGTGTATGTGTGTGTGTTTATGTACATGTCTGTGTGTGTGTACAAGTGTCTGTTTGTGTATGTGTATGCACATATGTCTGTATGTAAACCTACATGTATGGGCGATTTTGTCAGGTTCAGGATTATGTGCTTATTATGGGTGGTAGACTATGGGACATTTGAGTTACTGCTGGGTTTGATAGTAGGTAGGATATGCTTAGTAGAGTTATGGTTTTGTGAGTGAAAGATTATGGGGGGTTATGGTTGTATGAGGTACATGGTCTAAATATGATGGAGTGTTTAGGGGGACATTGGAGGCCCTGATGTAATGTGGGGGGACTCTGGGGACACTGATGTAATGTGAGGGGACTCTGGGGACCCTGATGTAGTGTGGGTAACATTTAACAGTGTAATTTCATGAAATAATTTACGAGGGCGTGTTTAAGGGCGGAATTAGGGGCAAGGAAGGGTAAGGGTTGGGAGGGGCAACTGGTGGCGAGTAACTCTTAAGGCCTGGCTAGTAGCTCAGGACTTGAAATTTTAAGCCCTGTGCTATATCATAAAGTATATTCACACTGAAGGAAAACCCAATTGGCACATCATTTCTCAGGTTTCTTTAACCCTTCTAAAAGAAATTCTGATGTGAGGTCACTGAAACACTGCTCTGCTGGTTCTATCACAGCTGAATCATTTGAAATGTCCTTCCTTTCAAATTCTTTTTAAGGTTTGGAAACAGAAAATAGTTAGGTGGAGCAAGTGAGTAGGATGAATGGTCTGTGTACTAATGCAGGCCATACATGGGTCGAATTCTGAAGGAAATTTCTTTAGAAAATCAGAAATTTTGTGTTTTGTAATCTGATTGTACAGCCATTGACTTAAAAAATCAACTAATCCAGTCTTGAATTTCCCCTCGTTGCTAAAGAAAATAATTTTTGTGGCACAGCTCATGCTCAGTTCTTTTTTGATTATATTTCTCACACGATTCTCCCATCATTGATTAGAAATTCGTTAATTTAAAAAAAAAAATTTCCAACATGCCCTACCACTCAAATTTGATGGCCATGCATAAATCGCCTTTGCTGCAGTCCACTAATGGTGCGAAATTCGAACAAAAATTCTTAGTTATGATTTTCAAAAGAAAATTCTTTTGGAATTTGACCCATGTATGGCCTGTATATGTCAACAAATCCTTAAAAACATCCCAACTAACAGGTGTATTATCCTGCAAAGAGAGAATGCTTTTGCACAGCTTTCCTTGACATTGGTAATCCGCATTAATTGTTTGTACCTTTTGAATATAGTCAGTCATCAAAATACCTTACTAATATCAAAAAAACTATGGCCATGACCTTTCTTGCTGTCTTTTGGGCTCTGAATGTTTTCACCCATGGAGGACCCTATACTTTCCCTTCATGGCAAGTTCTCCTAGGGTCCCCTGACAGATTTGTTCCTCTTTAAGCTAATTTTATATGAACTCCTACTGTCATGGTATACCCTATTTGTTTAGTTTTTTTTATCTTAATATCTTTCTCTCACTTTTTTGTCCTTTCTTTCTCTATATCAGGGGTTGTAAAACTTTGTATTTGAAGACCCAAATAAGAAACTTGTTTCCATATTTACTTCTTTTACCATATAAAAGAAGAGATTTTTTACCAAAACTTTAGAAAAGCCATGCAAAGACAAATAACAATGACTGTAAAATAATAATAAAACACACAAATACACATAGGAATGAATGCAGCTCTGTTTTCATAACATGTCATGAGGGTATGGGGAAGAGGACAATAAAGAAACCCTGCAGAACGTTGCCTAAATTTGTGATATGATGCTAGCTGTCTACCCACATAAAGTCTTACAAACTGATTCTGTCTCAAATGACTGAAACTGTATTTGAAGCACACCATTAAAGAATACCTTGGGTCTTGTGCTTTCATGCTGTGGGTGCCTTGTTGAAAAATGCATTTTATCAGTTTTAGTTAAATTTATGATCTTCTTTACTAAAAATTTAAAGTCATAGTACTCATTTTGGGTTCTCGTTACCATTTCTGCAAACTTTGGTAAAGTCAAGAGGAATACAATTTTTGTTTAATTGTTTTTTTTCAGTGGTTGAGTTTTCCAATTAGTGCTGAGTCTATTCACATCACAAACTTGTCTGAGTTACGTCTGCTCTGCTTGTGTGGCCAGTCATAGTCAATGTACTATCACCATTGATCTGATGATTTTGCATTTGTATTTCAATGGTTTTTATTAATTTGTAACAGTTGAACACAGGAGCAACAAATCACGCCCACGCAGGGGCTGTCAATTGCACATAAAAAATTAGAAAATTTGAAAAATCAGTGCTGTAACACCAACAGAGCAATGGCACTTAAACAACAAAACATTAGTATAACACTAATAGTAACTCAAGCTAAAAAGGCAGCTATCCACTGCCACACCAAAAACAAACAAAAAGAAAAAGAAAAGGAAGGAGGAGTACAAAAAAAAAAGATAACAAAACCAAGAGCAGGGATCCAAGAACGTCAATGCCGAACAACATCACATCCCCAGACTAGCCGGGGGGGAACGTGGGAAAGGCATATTCCAACCACGGCTCCCATATTTTCAAGAATTTACGTTGGGAGTCATATTCGACATCTGTTCATTGAGCATAGTGGTCATACAGTCCCACACCCCCTGAAGAGGGACAAACGGGCTCTTCCAGGCCTGAGCAATTGTTCTAGTGGCCGACAAAAACAAATAGGAAACCAACTTCTGCTGATGAGCCAAAAGGTCTGATATAAGACAATGAAGCAAAGCATACCGAGCATCCCTTCGTATAGAGAGATGGAACAAGGTGAAAAGGAGGCCAAACACATGAGACCAAAAGCAAAGCAGTCTCGGGCATGACCACCAGATATGCAATACATCACCACGATGGCCACAACCCCGAAAGCATCGATCACTGCAGGCAGGGTTCGCCTGGGCCATGATTTTGCATTTGGATACAAAGTCAATTGGTGAACCATCCCAAACATGCCAGAGACTTTGGTCCCAAGTTCCCAACCAATAGTTTAAGAAACACTGGTCTATATAAATATACATATATGTTGACAGACAAATATATTGACCAGCAAACCATTCCTGTTTTCTCTTTTTGCCCCACAAAATTAGAACCCCTTGTTATTTACATCTGTGGCACAGTCTGATATTGTATTTTTTGTGAAAAATCCTCTCTGTTCTCCACTATAATTCATTTTCTTTCCCATTGTTCTATGTTTCACTAGTTTCTCTCACTGCTATTTCCCATTCTTCCACCAGTATATTGTGGCCACATGGTACCACACTCTCCACCACTGGTCCTCTCTGGCTTCAGCAAACCAATGCTTATTTTGGTTAGACAATAGGAGAGTAAATAGGAGAAACATGAAACTTGAAATATGTTAAATGTGCTCTTGTGGTGACATGCCAACATAGTTTTAATTCTTCCCTCCATCCATAGTACAAGTGCAGGAATGGGATGGATCATGCTGCCAGTAATGTATTAACTGTAGGTAAATCTGAAGAAACCTGAAATTGTGATCACTTTGACATTGTAAGTAATTATACACAGCTTTGACTGAGTGATCAAAAAAATCAAAAGAGTATTCAGGGAAGGTTTATCATCTAATCTATAAAGTATAGCTAAAGCCAAAACTTTTTTTTTATTTTTGATTAAGTAAGATACGGTTATAAGTACACTTTTTTTTTACATTTGTGTTTTGTTGGGGAGATTTCCCTTCACTTCTGTCTCTACTATAAGAGAAAAAAAACCCTCTTAGACAGTTTTCCCCCAGAACCAGTACTCCCATGGGGGCATTTTCCCACTCCACATCTAAATTGAAGTTTTGGCTTTAGCTATGCTCTAAACTAGCAATTATATTTCTGTAAACGTTGTCTATGGTCTTGTGTCATTTTATTGTATGTCATAATTATCCAATGCCTACCTTATTGTTTTACTAATTTTGACAGGTGTCATTGACCACCATTTGTACAATCAGTCAGGGATATTTTATCTCTTGGGATTTGGTGAACAAAGCTCATCACACCTTCTGCTCTTTGCACTGTTTCTGTCCATGTATTTGGTCACTGTTTTTGGAAACCTTGGCATTATAGTGCTTATACTAACAAATGACCATCTTCAGAGCCCCATGTACTTCTTCCTCCTCAACCTAGCATTCATTGATTTTTGGTATTCCTCAGCTATTACACCTAAAATGCTGGCTGACTTGATCTCAGCTGAAAAGAGTATATCTTACCTGGGATGTGCTTGCCAAATGTACTTCTTTATTGCTCTTGGGAGCACCGAAAGTTTTCTTCTTGCTGCAATGGCGATTGATCGCTATGCAGCAATATGTAACCCACTTCACTATCTAAGAATTATGACTAAGGAAAAATGCCTTAAGTTATTGAGTGGTTCTTACTTTGGTGGCTTTCTACATTCTTTAATACAGACATGCAACATATTTCGCCTTTCATTTTGTGGCTCTCACCAAATTGATCACTTTCTTTGTGATATTCCACCTTTACTAAAGCTCTCCTGTATGGATACATCTACAAATGAATTTATTCTGTCAATATTTGCATCCATTGTAGCAGTTAGCTCTGTTATTATCATAGTTATCTCTTATACTTCTATTTTACGTGCTGTTTTTAGAAGTCGTTCTTCACAAGGAAGACACAGAGCATTCTCCACTTGTGGATCTCATTTCATTTGTGTCATACTTTTCTACAGTACAATCCTATTTACATATTTAAGACCAAGCTCAATATATTCTTTACAACAAGACAAGATTATCTCAGTAGTGTATACATTGGTTATACCAATGCTGAACCCTCTAATTTACAGTTTGCGAAATCGAGAAATGAAACTTGCTCTGAAAAATTTTAAAAAGGTTTTTAGTTTTATCCTAGGGTGTGTGAAAGAAGAAACAAGTTATACTGGTTGTTTTTATAAATTTAGTTTCAAGTGAACAGCAAGCCTAAAATGAATGATAGGATCAGAATCTTTTGAGGGTTCATACGGCTGACCCTGCATTGTTAAAGAGTCAGCAACATATAGGTGATTTTCCTATTTCTACAGCAGTATTTTTCAACCTCTTTTAGTCCTCCTCGGATCCCCCCCCCCCCCCCCCCCCGTGTCTGCCCACCCACACTCCAATCCCTGGCACTGTGCATCAGAAAAGGGATGTGTGGGTGTGCAATTTGAAGCCCAGCAGCCGACAGATACATCTGGTTGACAGGTGCCGACTGCTGATGCCTGAGTCTCTAGTCCATCCTTGGATGAGTGAGCTCACCATCCATCCATTGTCTGTGACTAAAGTCTCCCCTATCCCTCCTTTATCTTCCTGCCTCTGGTGAGTTCACTAAAGAAAGGGGGACTCAGATGTAAGGGGTGCTCTGCGGACTGTGAAGTAAAAGGAGCTTTGGTGAGCAGAGACTCCCTTACATCAGAGTTCCCCTTTACACCAGAGTCCACAGATTCCCCCCTTACAGCCCCCCTTTAAATCAGAGTTCCCAGAGCACTCCTTACATCCGAGTTCCCTTTTACATTAGAGTTCACAGAGCTCCCCCTTACAGTGTAAGTGGACATTCTGCTGACTCAGATGTAAAGGGGGACTCTGCAGACTCTGATGTAAGGGATGCTCTAGGAACCCTGATTTACAGGGAATGCTGGGAACTCTGATGTAAGTGGGGGCTCTGGTTACCAGAGTCCCCCTTACATCAGAGTTCCCATTTACACCAGAGTCTGAAGAGTTCTCTCTTACATTAGAGTCCCCTCCTTACATCAGAGTTCTCAGTGTTCCCCTTTAATTCAGGATTCCCAGAGCATCCTTTACATTAGAGTCCCCAGAGTTCTCCCTTACATCAGAGTCTGCAGAGTCCCCCCCCCCTTACAGTGTAAGGGAACTATGCAAGTTCAAATGTAAGGTAAAACTCTGCGGATTTAGTTATAAAGGGGAACTCTGCGGACTTTGTTGTAAGGTGGGAACTCTGGTGTAAAACGGAAACTCTGTAGACTTTAATGTAATAGGGATTACTGGCGACTCTGATGTAAGGAGGGTCTCTGGGGACACTGATGTATAGGGTAATGATGGAGATTTTCATGCAACATAAGATTCTGATATAAGGAAGGATTTGATGTACTATAAGGGGGAATCTGCAGACTCTGATGTAAGTGGTGTACTGTGGACTCTAATATAAGAGGGGATTTTGACGCAAGGAGGGACTCTGCAGACTGATATACAGATTAAGGAGGGATTCTAGGAACCCTGATGTAAAGGGGGGCTATAGGGATTTTTAGGTGTAGGAGAAGACTCCCCTGCACTCTATATATTATGTTTTACATTACATAGTCCTGCCCAAGGTGGTCACTGTCTCAACAGTTGCTGGTTTTTAATAATTAAATTATTTTTTAAGGTCGACTCAGTCAGACAAATTATTTTGCATAAAAGCAAATGTAATAGAAACATTTAATTTCTAAAAAAATGTTGCTTTGACCTGAAGGTTACATGTGTCTGTGAGGCTGTCAGTTATGCTACAGTAATTCTGAGTATTTTGTGTGTACAAGACCTGTGCTGCGTGTGAGCAGTGTATATAGTAACTAGCAGACATTTTGTTTAATTAAGTAAAATCTGCCCATGTGTACTGCTTGCTTTCCTGTTTTTTTCAGGGTCTGTTTTTTTCAGGGTCTTTTGTAATCCTAGTAATCTCACATTTTATTTTGAGTTTTTAATTGTATATTGTTTATACCATTTAAATATTGATTGTCTTAGTTTATAATAGGAGTTTATGTCATATTTCAGGATGTCAGTGAAAAATATGGTCCTTCAGTAATTGTTTTTGTCAGTAAAAAAATTAATCAGGGGTTGGCAACCGTGCCTCTATCAGGGTTATCCACAGTCTAGATGGCATGCTTTGATTAACTAAGTTATTTCATTCAACAGAACGTTTTGTGGCGTACAGCTAACGCAAATGGTAAATAACGTAATTTTCTATTCAGTAAATTAACTTATTTTCTAATTTTCTAAGGATTGTACAACCCTGTTCATTAATTTAGGTAGGATTCCCCAATAACAACCCCCCCCACCTGTGAATTATATTTGTTTTAAACCAGGACCAATAATAAAGATGAACCAGCTGGGTTGTGGGGAAGGGGTGGGGGGTTCAATGCAGGAGGCACAGGCTCTGAGAAAGCGCAAGGTTCTCTGGTACCCAAGGTGAAAATTCCAAAGAGCCCCTCTCTTCTCATCAATCTTAAACACATGGAGCTTGCACATCTACAGTGTACAGGAGTAACAGCTAATGTCTACTGGCCTTGAGGTTACCACAGTTTGGACCAAGGACAATCGAACAGGGTGGAGATGTGTTAAATCATGTGATTTAGGCATGATCAGTATGTTAAACAGATTCATATTTTTATTATTATTATTATTATTGTAATCAAAGTAATTTCTTACATATGGGAACTATTTTTTTTATAACTCATCAAACATGTACATTTATAAATGAAGGCTGTAACTGTAGTCTTAATTCATAAATGAATAATGAACATGAATGGGTTTACATATTAACAGCCCAGACTGCTCTAGAAGAGTAGATTTCCCAATCAATGTACACAGGGACAGTGTAGGAGCTCTTGATAAAGGCCAGGCAGAATCTGATAAAGAGCATAGTTGAGCAGAACACTTTTCCTGACAAATCTGCAGGACTGAACAACCAGATTGACAGCTTAGTCCTGCATAGTGTAGGTCATGGACAGAAGAGGAGAAGCTCCATCCTTAGCTGTGTACACCCTCCTCAGCACAGGACTTGAAGTGGATGCCTCTTCTGTCTTTCTCTGATGCTATTGGTAGACATTAATTGACACTGGGGTAGCACAGTGGCTTAGTGGTTAGCACATCTGCCTTGCAGTAAATGGATCATGGGTTTGATTCCCGACCATGGTGTCTCCTGCATGGAGTTTGCATGTTCTCCCTGTGCTTGTGTGGGTTTCCTCCCACACTCCAAAGACATGCTGGTAGGTTAATTGGCTCCTGTCTAAATTGTCCTAATTTCATCCCTGGCCATGTGGGATCTCCTGCATGGTAGGGGTTGGGGAAAGACCTGGCAACCTACCCTGTAAAAATAGTTGTTAAGAGAATAAATGGAAAAAGTTGCTTATGAGTGACGGTCCATGCAATCGCCAAGGGTTGGATACAACTGAATATAGATAGATAGAATTGACACTGGGTCTGACACTCAAATTTTGGCAAATAGCCTGAACCTACATCACGTTTTGTAAGGGGCAGTTACAGTCTAGCCATACTCTTTCTACCAAAGTATAGTTCTATGACTGGAGAAGATGTTCCTCAAATCAGGAGAAAGGGTATGGAGTGGAGTGATGACGGAGGTAGTTGTTAGAGTAAAATCTTTATGTGCTATCTTAAACCAGGCCTTACATTTGAAGTCTTTATCCTGAGGGGGGTCATGAGTAGCAACCACATTTCCCCAGGGATTCCCTGTACTACAGTATTTGAGAAGCTTAAAGAGACTTTTGGAAGGACTGCAATGCTGTACAGATGCTTCAACCAAGCTGAATAACATTACTGGGGTTCAAGTAAGCACCTTATCTAAAAATTAGATGTGTTCTATTTCGCATATCAGTGCTAGAATTTGTGCTGTGAGAAGTGGGTACGTTTTGAAAGATGAGAGCTGGGTATCATGTACAGGGTGTAGCAGACAAATAGAACTTGCTATAGTGAGTGATGATGGCATGCCTCTCGGGTCTGGTACAGGGGCAGACTGACAACTCATGGGGCCCCCGGGCAATAGGGGATCATGGGACCCATGTGTCCTTGCCCAAACTCAAAAAAGCCTATGAAAAAGGTACCAGGGGCATCTCATGGGGCCCCCCACTGACCCGAGTTTCCAAATGGTCAGTCCGCCCCTGGTCTGGTGCCTAAGCTGAGGAATCACAAAGTGGACTACTGAAGAAGGAGGTAAGAAATCTGCAGAGTATGATACAAAGTTTCAGATGGCCCAGGGAACGTTTCTTACTACTGTTCATGTTGGACTGTGCTGCACTTCCTTAAGTAAAAGTTGCATCAAATGTTCCAAGCTTGGTCTAAAAGTTACTTTAAAGGGGTGCATGATGATTCCTGGCATATAAAAGAACTTGAATTAGTAAGGCATAGTTGGAGTATGAAGCGAGTCTGTTACAAGGGGTTAATTCGGCAACCAGGAGTGGAGTAAGCAAACAGTCAGAGTCCTGCCATAAGGTTGATTTCACCTGAACGTGGCCACACCTGGTCTCGGGCATTGATGACTGTGCCCATAAACTAAAGGTACCCCATGTGTGCAGGGCAAGTGACTCTGTCGCTTTCTCTCTCTTTTTTGGGGTGAATTCTGTTTATTAAAGTGTTACTAAACCCACAACAGTAAAATCAGTCTGTATATGCAGTAAAACATGCTTGTTATACTCACTGTGGAACCTAAGGGGTTAATCCACTGCATTGCGTAAAAAGGCTGTTTGATCCTGTCTTCTTTGATCCTCCCCTTCTTCTACTGTCCCCAATCCATCTGCTGATAGCACAAAGCCCTAAGAGACACTCTGCCCTTTCTTAGTTTGGTGTGTATTGCTAAAGAGTTTTTATTTTTTTTCGGAAAGGTATATGTGACCAGTACAGGGCCAATCAGCAATGTTCAGACAGAGGGTCAGTGGTCATACAGCCTCATAGGACACTCAGAAGAGAATAATAACCCCTCCTACAAGGTTAACCAGTGCTCGGCCAGGCACTGGCAGAAGTCACAAGACTGGTATATACTGCTGATGATAAAAGGTACTTAGCAGTTTATATTTACTAAAATAATTGAATTTCCATGTTCTGTGTACTGCGGTAGACCAGATATCGTGAATTCAGAGTGCTGGGTTTAGTAGCACTTTAAGGTTTTGAATAGCATAACAAAATTGCCCATGCAGGGGCTGGCACCA